AATACAACTTTTTTTTTTCCTCAGTGGCTGTAAGAGGAGAGCTGGGATGGCTGAGACTGATTGCAGTCTGCCCATCATAGAGCTACTTATATGTGGTAAGCACAGGTTTCTTTTTTAATGAAGTTTCTGCAGACGGAGTGACACCAAATAATAGAAATATGTAGGCAGAAAAAACAGGCAATAAGCACAGGGAATTGGAACACGGTGTTGTCAGTGGTTAGAGAACAAGATCTTTACTAAGGAAATATTTAGAAAAACATGTTTATAGCTATAAAAGCTGTAACTGGAAAGCACCACACATGGGATTTGTGCTGTGCAGAGAGTGCCACCCTCTGCTTCTGCAGAGTAAGGAGCTTTCCTCTCTTACCTGACTCTTCCTCTTCTGCTAGTGCAATTCTCACACACACAGAGTGAGTTACAAAAGCACTTTTTTGGGTCAGTAACTCTGCAAACGGTCTGCCATTCCCTGTTAATTGTGTCAGCTCAGCTCTTTAATTTGGCATTATATTCTCTTAATATATATATTTATGATTGTGATTATTATTTTCTCTTTTTTTTTGGTCAGAGCAGAGATTAATAGATTTGCCTTCCCCTTTTAGGGGCAAGGCCCTGTGGGTTCCTGAAAAAGACAATTTCCTATTAAGGTCTGAGAGAGCTTACTCAGAGGGAAGGCGGCACAGAGCTCCTGCAGGCAGCCCAGCTGCAGGGCAAAGGAATGCTGAGGCTGGCTGTGGGTAAAGGACTTGTGGTGCCTTTTGATTTTTACTTTTGGAGAATAAAAGAGAGCTCTGCAAGAGGAACTTGAATAGACGTTGGGATAAGCCACGCGCTCTTTTTCTGCTGGAGACAGCGACGGCAGTTTACACAAACAAGTCTGCAAATTTACAGGAATTCTTGCACTTAAAGGCATAATTTGTGTCAGTATTTGACAATTTTTCTGGCTTTTTAAACAATTACTGTGACATTCCCCTGTTGTACTAAAACTTACGTTACTGATGATAGAGATCTTCCAGTATGAAGCCTGCTGCAGCTTTGTGCCACGTTTGGGTGGCAGGCCCTAAACAAGTGGTTATTCCAGTAGTTTTGGGGCTTGGTGCCATGTGGCAGACTAATAAATAAGAAAAAGGTACTTTGGAGCTTTACCCAAGCAATAAATTGTCCAAGAGATATGGGATCAAAGTCAGGGAACAAACACAGGCAAATACTCCAACTGAACAGCAACATTAGTGACTAAACAGTTCTGAATTCCAGTTCCCTTTGGAGAGCAAAACTCCAGCTTTTTACATTCTTAAAGGAAAAGCAACAAATTGAACAAAGTTTAGGTATTCAACCTCACCATATTGTCTTTGACACTATGGAAGTGGAAGAGTATCCAGTGAAGGTCACTGCTAAAGAATTTGAAACACTCACTCATAGAGGCCAGTTCTCAGGGATTCCTCCCAAATCTCAGCTGAAGCTCATTCTGTTAATGTCCCTTTCAGCTCAGCTCTCCTTTGCCCATGTAACCCCCACATGTGGTTTACAAGCTCAGTGCCAAACCTGTGCACCCAACACTTGTAGAAGCATCTGGCTCAGGCAGCAGAACAGCAGCAGGCTGCTTGTTCCCTGCATCCAAATATATGTTGTCCAGATATTTGTGCAGATCCCTGAGACTGCATATTTGTGAACTGTAAAGGGTGTTTCATCCAGCAGAGTCTCTAAGCAGATTGCACAGAGGCACACACTGGCAGTGCTTCTTGATCTTTAGTCCCTATCATTTATCACCTGGCTTGCTTAGCCTCTCTCAGACCTACGCATTTGCACTTGAAAATAATCCTCCTCCTGAATTAGTGTGTAAAGTAATATTCTCTTCCAGATCATGCTTCCAGGGCTCCTTCTGCATAATGCCCACAGGAAAACACCCTGATACTATCATTAGCAATCTGCCAGGAGCTTGGTTAACTGGTTTGTAATTTAAGCAGTTTAGACTTAGTGATGGTTTTGGTTTAATGACCTTCCTGACTTGTCCTGACTAGAGAAGCAGCTCTGTGGGTTCATGTGCATATTAAGGGTAATTTGGACAGGTTGTTAAAAGAGGAATACCTGGAAAATCTGACTAAGTGTGTTGAACTGACAACCCTATTTAGGATGACAGTATGATGTTAGAAAGTATATCCATGTTGAAAATAAAAACGTTCAGAGAAAAGGGGCACCAATGTGACCTTTCAGAGAGATGTCTGATTTTCCATACCCATTTAACTAAACAGCATTCTGGACCATATGGAGATTTTAGCAAGGCTAGGAGTAAAATCTACCCAACTAATAAACACTCCAGCAACCCCAAGCAATCCGTGTCACCGGATTAGCTACTAATGGAAAAAAAAACAACCCAGCAACATGTGTAGGAGGCAACAGTTGTGTGAAACACCAGTGTGACGTGACACCTCCCAGTACAGGGATGCCCGGTGCCTGGAAGATGCCGAGAACTTCAAGGACAGATGATGAGGAAATGGCCCTGGGGAACCCTGCCGAGGAGGCGGGAGCGGGACACGGCAGCGAACTGCCCCGGCTCTGACCCGGCAACACTACTGCAAGAAGGCGAATGATCCAGATGATGAACGCTGCGGGGGGCAGCAGCGCTTGTACGCACCGGTTTGGTTTGTAACTTCATTTATGCCAATCGCCCGCCGGCCTCAGGGCTCTTCTGGTAGCGAACCCCCCGCCTCGCCGCAGGGCCCCGGCGGGCGCGGAG